AGCCCACTGCCTGGAGCAGGCTCAGATACCTGTGAGCAAATCAGTGTCCCAGAGCCTGGGGTTTATTTGCAGATTCCTCAGGGTCCTATGTAATGAGGCTGTTGTTTACTCACCCCAGTTTGAGTTTTACTTGGAGAGTCACCCTGACAGAGTTGTGAATGTCAGTCTTCAAGATAAAGTGGCCAGTTCTTATAAACAAAGACCAGAATGATTGGGAACTCCTAAAGATCCACCTGACTCTCCCTCTAGTGTGCTGGGGTTAAAGGCATGTAGCACCGTGTTCAGCTTGTTTGGTGTTTTATCATGAGATATACATGCATCCATCACCATGATCACTGTATTTGTATCTTGAGCCATGTTTTTCTACTTGTGACCTTTACACATTTTATACATTGTTGATTAAGAAATTACTCCCACTCCCAACACTATTGGGTAAGAAGGGAACAGATGTCACTCACGTAATATGTGCAGCTGGATGTGGTTACTCCTCTTGGAACTGGCTGGATTGGAGACCCTACACTGATAGTTCCCTGAATCTTCTCTCCTGACAGGGTATATTCGGAGGGTGCTGTTGTTCTGGGACAGCTTCATCCTGTTTGTGAGCCCCAGCATCTGGCCATTGAAGAGCCAATAGATGGAGATAGCATTGAAGAACCAACTGATGGAGGTCTCTAATTCATTTGAGAAGCAGGCCAGGAACACAGAGTCCAGTTCTTTGAGTGTAGTGTTGGTGACTTGGATCGAGGGTGTAGTCACTGTCTCTGTGGATAAACAGTGGAGGGGACCAGGTGAGAGTGCTTTACCCTAATGATCTCTGCCAGCTCCCAGTGCCCACAGAACAAAGTGAGTCTTGGCAAAATTACATGTTTGAGTTCAAGATACATCTATAAGGGTAGAGCTGAATCTTTCTCCTACCCAGATTACCTACAGTGACCTCTGCCTTTGGGTATTTGTGTAGATACCACACTGGGAGCCTCTTCAACTCTTAGTGTCTAGAAATTTCATGGTGGGTAACATAATCCCCATTGAATTTTGTGCAAATTCTTGCTCACTTTTTCTGTAAGTGTGAACACTCATGTCCCTCCTTTATTATTTTCATTAAATAATTTGTCATGGGGTTAAGATGGCCCTACCAATCTAAAGATGTTAAAACCTGGACATCAGGACTAGAAGAAATCCCTAGCTAAAGAATTTCTGTTTGAAGAAAATTTTTGTTTCCTGCCCAATGTGTAAACATTAAATACCACAGAGAAGTGAATTATCACAGTGCTGACCACAGACTGTCACTCTAATCCTCAGTACTGATATTTTTTTGAAACAGGGTCCCAGTGTAAAACCTTGGCTAGTTTGGAACTTACTATGCAGACCAGGTTGGCCTCAAACTCACACTATCTACCTGCCTCTGCCACCTCAGTGCTGGCAACAAAGGTGTGTGCCACCACACTCAGCCGACATTTGTTTTTTAAGTATTGAGAAGAGTAACCAAAAGAGCATCATTAATGGTCAGTGACATGGTTCACCCTGACTCAGAACATGGTTCCCAGGCACCTTCTCTAACCACTCTTCCCATCCTACAGAGTCAGAGCTGAGTCAGGCACTAGTCAGACAGGAGCAGAGCTGGGAGCAGAGCTCTGGACTGCTAGTCCCCACCTGTGGGGAATTTTCTCCTCCAATTTGGAGAAAAAACATGTGAGCACAGTGGGAAGCCCTGGGTGTTCCTTCTAGACCATGAAGGTCATAAAAAGAAAATGGAGGGAGGGCACAGAAAGGCTTGTGTTAGTCACAGAAAGAAATCTTGACCTTAAAGCTCTCCCTCCCCTGGGAAGTCCCTCATACAACCTGAGGCTTTGCAAGGCTGGGATAATCTCCTGCTCACATTCCAACCTCCATCCTTATCAGCCAGGAGAAGTCAGAGAAGCAGGAGACCCTTAGTCATAGGCATGGAACAGGAAGCTCAGAGAAAGACTGAGTTTTGCTTGTTCCCATAGACATGAGCTGCGAAGCTAAAAGAATCAGCTCCAAAGCTGATGCTGATATTTCAGAGATTCACTTACTTACTAAGGACTGTAATGTGTTTGACCATGGTCTTATTTACTCCAGGGACAAGGTTATAGAGGAGGCAGGTATAGAATCCACTATTATTATCATTTATGTTTGGGATAAAGAACTCTTCAGAGCTGACCTTGGTGGGACACCTTAAACATCCTTGGTGCAGGATGAGGGGCTTGGACCTGCCTCAACTGGGTGTGTCAGGCTGTGCTGACTCCCCATAGGAGGCCTTGCCTTGGAGGATGTGGGAATGGGGGTATGTTGGGGAGAGGAGGCTAAGGGGTGGGAGGAGGGATGGGGGAATCTGTGGTTGCTATGTAAAATAAATAGCAAAATTTTTAATAATAGAAAAGAAAGATCTTTTGGGAGGATGATTGGAGTTCTCCATTGACAAACCAAGAGTACTGTGCAGGTGGGTTAGCATCTGTGTGGCAGGAGATGTGAGGTTTGTCCTTGAATGAAAATGAATATTTGAGGATGATATGATTGGGACATCTGGATCATCTGGAGCAAAAAGAATAAAGTCACATGTGATGTCAGCAGAAGGAAGGGGAAATCCTGGTCTGTAGAAGGTGATAGTATCTCTTTGAGCTGTGCTTTAACCTTAATTGAGCAGATTTCACCCAGAGTTGTGGTTCATATTACTAGAAGAGTACTCATGCAGCATGCACAAGTCCTGATCCATTTCCAGCACAACACACAAACATCTCCACTGCACACTCATGTGTGCAATAATCCTGAGCCTGGCATGTCTCCTGTCTCCATCACCCTGAGTCAATCTAGGCAGGAGAAGTCCCTGCAGCCCATTCTAGCTCAATGCTGGGCCTGGCTACATGTGCTTGGGCTGGGCCCAGATGCCCTGGCAGCATAGCTATCTATGTGATGGGTCTGGGTCATGGACCCAAGGGGACTGGGACTAAGTATGGTAGCTCTATCCCTCTGTATTTAGGCAATCCTAGCCAGGATGAAACAGAAAATACTCACAGGTAATGTTAAGAGAGAGTGGGTCACTTGGGGAGGCACTCACTGGGTCTCAGGTTCACATACATAGGGTCCTGTGTCAGTCCTCACAACACTGAGTAAAGTGAGAGTCCTGTGGCCCCCAGACAGCTTCAGCCCGTCATCTCTGAGAGGCCTTGGTCATTTATCCTCCACAGGTAGGCTGTATTCTGAGTCTTAGGATCACACATTAATGCTACTAGAGACCCCTCCCAGGTATAGAAACTCTTCCTTGTGATTTTGGGATAGGGTAGCAACACTATGATGTATACAGAGAGAAGATTACCCTCTGTGGTACCTCTGATTGTTGCAAGGCCTCTTTAAACCAGAGATAGTCTCTTAACTACCTGACAACCCAGAACCTTAAAGAATCAGGCAGGAAACAAATTAGAGGCAGATGGAGTAGCTGAGTGCTCAGAGATAATGGGGCCTCCTATGCCAAGTATGGGAGAAGTAAAGACTATCTCATGAGTGAACTAGGCTGCAGTATTTGGTCATGGAGAGACTCAAGATTTAGAATCAGAGACCTCATTTTATGTCCTGGTCTTCACTGACCCATTGCCTTGAGGTACAAGGTTTGGGTCCAACCAGCTGCACTGACCTCCACTACACAGTGTAGACCAGCGCCCTCCAAGCCATTGCTGTCCAGGGCTGCTCTACAGATAGGTTATGATTAGTCTTCTCATTGAGCTTCCCTGAGAAATCTGACAGCCTGTCAGAGATCTCAGAGATCTCAGGATCTGGCTGACATTCAGATAGGGCTGTACCGCAGGTGGGCCACTCTTGTCAGGTGTTTAATGTTGAGTGGCATGAATCAGGAAACCCTCAAAGAAGCCTGAGTCTACAAAATGATCCTGAAGATTGAAGGTCACCAGTCAGCTCTTCTTGGTAAAGAGGCTGGAAATGTGGCTGTGGACATGCAGCTTGTGACACTCATAGCCTGTGTGACCTTGACTCAATGACTGATTTTCCTATCTCAGTTTCCTCATAATAGGACACATAGTAAATGATCAATTCCATGCCTGCAAGTTATCCTTAAATATGAATAATGATCTGAACTTCCACCAAGCAGTGTTCATTACTATTTGCCTACAGAAAATAATCTCTGGGCTGGGCCCCCAGGGAGGAAAGATATGACATTTTACACTTTTTCTTCTATCTCTTTAGGGCTCTTGATCTTCCTGGGAGGTCTCAGAAGACCATCAGAAGAGCTGGCTGATTGCCTTTCATATCTCTCCACCTATGCTGAGCACACTGAGTCTCAGGAGGAGATGCCCAGATGACCTACCTCAGAAATGTCTCTCTTAGGCTGACCTTCAGCAGGCTCCCATCCTACAATCCATCTTTGTTCCCTGTCATCTCCAACAGGAAGTCAAATTTAAGCCTACTTTACACGCTCTTCAGGATTCCTGGTGCAGTCTGGCATGGAGTTCTGGAACAAAGCTTGGGTTGCACATCTCTCTGTGAGACTCTCATGGTTTCCTCAGCCAGGCCCTGCCTGAGTCCTAAAGGGTCTTTCTCAAGGCCATGTTCATGATGAGCACCTAAGACCCTGGGCAGAGTCTGACAGGCATGGGATCAGTTACCTCACCCCCTCTTCTGTGAGGGTGGATTGAAATGAGGCATCCTCATTTGTTACTGTTTCTTCCACTCTGTGTCCTTTACTCAATGAATCACAATGTGGGGACCGTAACACAGGGTCATCCAGGAGTGACAACCCTATATGTGAAGAAGGATTAGCCCCATCTATGACCCAGAGGTTACAGAGAATTACTTACTGTGTACTCGGATCTGCAAGGATGCACTCCTAAAATTAAAGTTTTCTGTTACCATGTAAAGCATGTAGACTCCTGCATCTTTCTGAGTGGCTTTCTGCAAGAGCAAGGATCCATTGGGGTATATCATCTCTCTGCCACTGTATGCAGGGCCTGTGTTTTTTATATTACTGAACATTAGATATCCTGCAATTTTATTCCTCTCAACATCAGTTTCTCTCCTGTACCAGTAAAAGGCTTGGAGTGTCGCTGGCAGATTGTGGACAAGTAGAAGGACATTGTCCCCTTCAGCAACATGGGGTGGAACTGCTTCAACAGTGACTTGGGCAGTGGTGGAAGAGACTAAGAGGAAAAAGAGAAAAATTTATCAATATTAGGGCGTTTGCATTTGGTAGAAATTTGAAAGCTGATTGTGCTCAACTCTCAGCTTTGGTGTGTATGTCCTGTTGGGGCGAGGTCAGCAGCAGCACCCCCATTCATGAGTACATCTGAATCTTTCCACTGTATGAAACTGTCTTCTCAGCTGTCTACACAGCTCACCTCTCACTGCCCTCAGATCCCTATTCACACTCAGATTCTTTGGTGAATGTAGACATGTCTTGTCTGACCTCCTCCTCTAAAGACTCTGTGCCTTCATTTTCTGACCTTTTTTTGTTCTATTTCTTCTGAAGTGCTTCTCAACCCCTCAGCCCACCTTCTAGATGTCCTTTCTGCTCTGTCTTCCTGTCCAGTGTTACTAGGGCTTTGTGAGGTGGACTAGTTTGATTTTGGGTTAGACCCCACTGCCTGGAACAGGCTCAGATACCTGTGAGCAAATGAGTGTCCCAGAGTCAGGGGTTTATTTGCAGATTTCTCAGGGTCCTATGTAATGAGGCTGTTGTTTACTCGCCCCAGTTTGAATGTTACTTGCAGAGTCACCCTGACAGAGTTGTGGATGTCAGTCTTCAGGATAAAGTGGCTACTTCTTATAAACAAAGACCAGAATGGTTGGGAACTCATAGAGATCCACATGTCTCTGCCTCTGGTGTGCTGGGGTTAAAGGCATGCAGCACCACATTCAGCTTGCTTGGTCTTTTATCATGAGATTAACATGCATCCATCACCAAGCTTACTGTGTTTGTATCTTGAGTCATGTTTTTCTTCTTGTGACCTTTACGCATTTTTCACAATGTTGATAAAGTAATTACCCACACCCCCAACACTATGGAGTAAGAAGGGAGCAGATGTCACTCACCTATTATGTCCAGCTGGATGACATCACTCCTCTTGGAACTCTGAAAATTGTAGATCTCACACTGGTACTCCCCAGAATCCTTCCTAAAGACAGGGTCTATGGTGAGGGTGCTGTTCTTCTGGGACAGCTTCATCCTGTTCGTGAGTTCCAAACTCTGGCCATTGAGGAGCCATCGGATGGAGTTATATCTCAAGGCATTGTAGTGTGGAATATGAAAGGAGCAGGTCAGGAACACAGGATCCAGTTCTTTGACTGTGGTGTTGTTGAATTGGATGAAGGGTAAAGGTAACTCCCCTGTGAATAAACAGTGGAGAGGACCAGCTGAGAGTCTTTCACCTCAGAGATCTCAGCCAGATGTTAGGGCCCACATAATGAACTGGCCCTCTGAGAGATCACGTTTGGGTTCAAAATACGGTCTCTAAGATCTGAATCTTCCTCCTACCCAGATCACCCACAGTCACACCTGACTCAGGATATCTGTGTAGATTCCACATGAGAGCCTTTTCAGCACACTTTTCTAGAAATCTCATGGGGGGGGGGATTTATTTACCATTGACTTTTGTAAAATTCTTGCTCACACTTTTTGTGAGTGTCAGCAAGACACTCAGGGTTGTCCTACAGATGGCACATCATTAGTCTTGCCATTGAACTTTCCTGAAATCCTGACATCCTGACAGAGATCTCACACAGATCAGGAACGGGTGGGCATTCAGGCTGGGCCTGGCCATAGGTGGGCCTTCTTGTCAGGTGTTTGATGTTCATTGACATGAATCAATGAACAGCCTGAGTCTATTAAATGATGTAGAAGACTAAGGTCAACTAGTAAGGTCTCCATGGTGAGGAGGTCTGAGATGTGGTTGGGGACAGATAGCCTGTATCACACATGGCCTGTGTGACCTTGACTTAGTGACTGTGTTTCCTGTCTCAGTTTCCCTATAACAGGACACATGACAAATGCTCGTTGCCATGACTGCAAGTTAACCTTAAATGTGAACAATGACCTGACTTCTCACAATCAGTGTCTGTTATATTTGCCTGCAGGAAATAATCCCTGGGCTGGACTCCCCAAGAGGACAAGGAGCTGCCATTTTACACTCTTTCCTGCTATCTCTTTAGGGATCTTGACCTTCCTGCGAGGTCTCAAAAGACCATCAGAAGAGCTGGCTGACTGCCTTTCCTACCTCTCCACCTATGCTGAGCACACTGAGTCTCAGGAGGAGATGCCCAGGTGACCTACCTCAGACATGGCTCTCAGAGGCTGACTGTCAGCAGGCTCCCAGTCTACAATCCATCATCGTCCCCTGTCAGCTCCAACAGGAGATCAAATTCCAACCCAGTCTACAAGCTTCCCAGGATTCCTGTTCTAGTCTGGGACCGGAGATCTGGAGCAAAGCTATCGGGAGTCATCTCTCTGTGAGACTCTCATGGTTTCCTCAGCCAGGCCCTGCCTGAGACCTGAAGGGTCTTTCTCAAGGCCATGTTCATGATGAGCTTCTAAGACCCTTGGCAGAGTCTGACATGTCTCGGCTCAGTTCCTTTAGCCCCTCTCCTCTGAGGGTATTTTCAAATGAGGCATCCTGATTTATTACTGTTTTTTCCACTCTGTGTCCTTTATTAAATGTTTGAACCTCAATGTGGGGACCATAACACTGAGTCATCTAGGACTGACAACCTTATATGTGAAGGAGGAATAGCTCCAGGCAGGACCCAGAGGCTACAGAGAATTACTTACTGTATACATGCACGCTCCCAGTTGCAAAAAGCATTACTCTCCTATCATCAAGGTGTATGAATACATCGTATTTTCCTCCATTTGCATTAGAAATATTCTGGATGAACATGGATCCATTGTCGTATATTTTATGTCGATCTGTGTATTGTTCCCCTTTCCAATATACTCCTTTGGATTTTGAAAAGTGTGCAAGTCTAGCCCACTCAAGGGTCCCGAATCCTAATTCTCTGAACCAGGAAATGGTAGCTTTTCGTATATCAGGGATACGTATAAGAAGGTTGTCCCCTTCAGCAACGTGGGGTGGAACTGCTTCAATAGGGACAGATGGTCCATAATAGTCAGGGGTGGCAGAAGTCCAGGAGGTTACAATTGAGGCTGAGAGGAAAGGAAGAAAAATCTATCAATATTAGGGCATTTGCATTTGGTAGAAATTTGAAATGTGAGTGTGTTGAACTCTCAGGCTTGGTGTGTGTGTGTCCTGTTGAGGGGAGCTCAGCAGCATCACCCTAATTCATCACTATCCCTGAATCTTTCCACTGTATGAAACTGTCTTCTCAGCTGTCTGCACAGCTCACCCCTCACTCCCTCAGATCTCTGCTCACAGTCAGAATTTCTGGTGAGTGTAGGCATGTCTTGTCTGACCTCCTCCTCTGAAGACTCTGTGCCTTCACATTCTGACCTTTCCCTGCTCTGTTTCTTCTGAAGAGCTTGTCAGCCCCTGAGCCCACCTTCTAGATATTCTTGCTGCTCTGTCTTCCTGCCCAGTAGTAGCAGGGCTTTGTGAGGAGGACTAGCTTGATTTTGTTTAAACTCCACTGCCTGGAACAGGCTCAGATACCTGTGAGCAAATCAGTGTCCCAGAGCCTGGGGTTTATTTGCAGATTTCTCAGGGTCCTATGTAATGAGGCTGTTGTTTACTCACCCCAGTTTGAGTTTTATTTGGTTAATCACCTTGACGGAATTGTGAATGTCAGACTTAAGGATACAGTGGCCAGTGCTGATGAACTTAAAATTGGGAAGAGCTGAGTTTTTCCTCCCCAGTTACCAATTTTCATCCACTCTGAGCTTCCTGTGCTCTCAGGCTTCAAGCAGAAGCCAGATGTACCTCCTCAGGCTATTTCCCTCTCCTAGAAGAACCCAACCAGTCCCTGAGCCCCCCAGCTCTCTACTCTAGAGCAATGTCTCCTCACCTGTGAGCAGGAGTCCCCTCCAGAAGACCTGTCCTTTGTGGAGAGGGGCTGGGGTGAGCTCCATAGTCTCTACTGTAGGCTAGGCTCTTCCTCTGGAGAGGAGGTTTGTCTCTCAGGCTGCTGCCAAGCTGGGCTCCCCTGGTGTCTGCTCTGATTTTATTCCCAGACCTCAGCCTCCTCCCAGAGGAGGGAACCTCCTGGAGTCAGTTGGGTTGTGGGTGGAGTCTGTGTATGTACATTGCTCTGTTCTTCTGTGAGTGCTGCCTCCCATCCTTCTATTCCTTTGTTGTTCAGAGTTCTAGAACATACTTTGAGCCTCAAGGCTGAGAAGTGTCCTGTGTCCCGAGAGAACAGCAGCTCACCCCAGGGCCTTGTCCCTGAACTTCCTATAGCCAAGAGTGTATATCCTTGAGACCCCAAAACTGCCCTGTGATCTCAATGCTCAGGGAAGGTGGGATTTACTCCAGGAAGGGAGTGGCAGTCTTCTCTAGGGGCTGAAAAAGGTCTAGCTGTGTGATGACTGGAGAGGGCCCAGATTCATCATTGCTGGTATCACCAGTGAGGTGTCTGATCCAGGCATACACGTTATCTCAGGGGTTCATATCCTGGTGTGCAGAAGGATGTGATCTGTATGTCCTAGAAAGAGAACTGTGTTCTACACAGCTCCCTATGGCGGTCACCAGGGAGACCCCTCCACCCCCAGCTTCCTGTGCTTGCTGAATGTGATTCAGGTCTGTCCATGCCCTCCCTGACCTTTCTGGGATGCCTTTGTTCTCCTTGGTTGTTGCCTTGTGATCTCCCAGTCTTTTCTCATGGATGATGACAGGAGAGATTGCAGAGTGGGGTCTCAGAGACACAAGAAATGAATATGTGAGGGAGCTCCAGGTCTGCTGGAACTGGGATGGAAAACAGGGCTGCAAGATAGGTTCACACCTCAGGGAGAGTTTTCCCTGTTGATTATGTGGTTTATTGTCACCTTCTGGTGTTCATGAGGAGACCTGCAGCTCATGCCTAGGCTGCCACAATGATGGTAGCCAAGCTCCAAATGCTGGAATGTAGCTGAGCACCAAGTTTCCCAGGAGGTCCCAGTGTGCAGCTGCCTTTGAAGATCTAGGTAGATTTGTCTAGAGACTAGAAAAGCTGAGGTGAAACTCACTGCCATTTTATCTGCAGTTCCAGGAAGACTGATGATGTTGAGCCCCCTTCCCCATGCTTAGAGCACTTGCTGATCTTTGCCCAGGTGTCATTTGATGGCTCCTTAAACCCAAACCTTCAGTGGTTCTTAGGCAATCACAGGCCTCATTCAAATGTCTCTGCCGAATTTTCATGGCCCTGTAACCTCTGGCAGTTTTACCTCCTGCTTAGCATTACCATAATTCAGGCACAGTTCTCTTCTTTGTAGGGGACCTTAGGGCTGCCACTAGGAGCTGGCATTTTGTCTATCATTGGAAGCCATTATCATTTAACACTTCAAAGGTCATACACAGCAGATCTCTGAAGAGTTTTTAAGGGCCATCTCTTGAACACATATGTATCTTTTGTAATTTGTTTAGGCTTGACCTTGAAAACCTACAGAGCATGTGAAATAAAGCTTATCCCTGTCAATGAATTACATTTGTTTTTAGCACAAGTACAAGCAAAGTTCTGAGCACTCTTTGAGGTGGCTGACGATTAACCTGAATGTCCTAATTATAGCCTAAAAAATTACAATTCTTGAATTGAAGCTCTTTTAGTATCAAAATAAAACTTTAAATCAAAATTACAACTCATGCAGAGACAGGGAATCTTACAAAAACCATAAATATTGTCCACAGAGAGATTGGGAACCTCATTTTTTTATCCTTTCATACAGTATATTTTGCATCAGTACAGAATATCACAGCTTCTTGTATGTCTCAGTTTACCCAAATAGATAAATCTGAAAAAAGTAGCAAAGACAAAGAGGCCAGATAAACATTTTCAGGTCAGTCTCTCTTGGCCTGAGTCGACCGAGGTAAGGAGAGACATGTCATAGGCTCTGTGCCAAACTGCTTAGGCCATCATCTGGCTGCATGGTATAATAGAAATATCTCAGTTCTTGGTGTTCTAGCTGTGGTCCTAACACCTTGTCTTCTAGTCCCCTGTCTCATATATTTAATTTTCCTTTCATCCTTTCTCACCATTTCACCCTATTTCTCCAGCCTCTGATATTCTTTATCTAGAATAACATAGCTCTCTGCTATCTCAGTCTGTGTGAAAGCTGGCCACATCTTATCTCATGACATTAAACCTCTGTTGGTCTTTGTAAGTCATGTTTTCATTCAGAAGTCCAACTAGGGATGCCAGTCCGTCCAAGCTGGCATCCATCAAAACCTGGCCAGAGGCCAGCAGTC